CACAGCACTCCAGTCCATCAGTTAACATCTGGAGAAGACAAAAGCTGAAACACATCCAGCATTAAGATGTTTTTAACTAAAATACATTGAGTCCATAATCCATAATAAGGCTTCCTCCAGTGAAAAAGTGTTCTGTTGTGAATCAGGAGAGAAATCTGCACAGATCAAGCAGCGTTTAAATGGCTCTAAACAAATATGTGGCTGGATTTTGATGTGAGAGACAACAGGAGATGCACTTTTTCACTGGAGGAAGCGTTATTATAGATTATGTACTCATATTTTAGCTAAAAACATCTTAATGCTGGATTTGTTTCAGCTTTTGTCTTCTCCAGATGTTAACTGATGGACTGGAGTGGTGTGGATTATGTGACGTTTTTATCAGCTGTTTGGACTCTCATTCTGACGGCACCCATTCACTGCAGAGCATCCATTGCTGAGACACTGATGCAATGCTGCATTTCTACAAATCTGATGAAGATCAGACTCATCCTAATCTCGGATGAGCACACTTTTTTAGCAAATCTCCATTTTTGACTGCACTATTCCTTTAACAAAAGCCCTACATCTGTCAAAAGTCTGGCGGGTCATGCAATTGACTTGTTTTGCGTCATTCGACAGACGTTTGAGATGCATTTACAGTAAATGCATCTGTGAACTGGGTCAGTGAAATTACAGGACTGCTACTGAAGCACACTGTTGTCAGGGGTCTGGTGAGCACTGTGTGTGCGTGTGTGTGTGTGTGTGTGCTGGGGTCAGAGGTCAGGCAGGACACGTGATTGAGCTCGTGAAACAAGATGTCATCCGCTTGAGAATAACTGCATCTGTTTGTCCGCAGGCGGGTCGTCCCTCTGTCGGAGGGTCAGGACTTTCAGAGTCTGTGTTAGCAGAGAATGAGTCCACAGCGTCTTCCCAGATTGCACTGGGAGCTCCTGTCATACCGCAGCCCAGCGGCACACCCAGCGCCCCTCCTCCTGCCACCCCGAGCAAGGTCAGCGACCTTTGACCTTCATCACATGGCACTCTCCCTCTGTACACAAAACCATAGCATGATCTATGCACTTCTGCCACATTTCAGAAATGTGTAATACAGTTAAAAGTGTATGCTTATGTCTCAGTAACTGATGCCTCTGTCATGGTAGATGTAAATGACTCTGTGCATGCGTCTGTAGGAGGAGGAGAGCCTCCGAGCTCAAGTCAAGGATCTGGAGGAGAAGTTGGAGACGCTGCGGATGAAGCGCTCGGAGGGTAAAGCCAAGCTGAAGGAGATGGAGAAGCACAAGATCCAGCTGGAGCAGCTGCAGGAGTGGAAGAGCAAGATGCAGGAGCAGCAGAACGAGCTGCAGAAGCAGCTCAAAGAGGCCAAGAAGGTGCTGGAGACAGAACACGCTCAGATCAGTCACACAGAGCGAATCAGCACCAAAAATTAAAATTTACAGTATAGCGCAGAATGGCACAGAATTTAGCCAATTTTGGACAAATAAAAAAATAGAACAGACAGTGTCTGAAAAAAATCATAGTTAATAGTTTCGTAAGTTAAAGTTTTATGAATTCAATTGATTAGACATGCTTTTTGGTTAAGATGTAACTAAAGCATAGAAACAGAATCCAGGAAAAACAAAATGTATTTAATATGGCCATAAAATGAATTTTTTGTTAAGTTGTACATTTTTTTATCTTTTCAATTCATTAGGCATACTTTTTTGATTTACTAAAATTTAATTTAACCATTCAAATGAGATTCTGAAAGAACAAACAAACAAAAAACTATTTGGAAAAAAATAAAATGGATTTGGGTAAAAATAAAACGGACTTCATAGGTTGCTGAAAATGTCGTTTTTGTTAGGCTTTTAATAAATTGGTGTCGTCAATTAATTAGACATCCTTTTTTATTACTAAAATTTAATTTTGCTATTAAATCAGAATCTGGAAAAATTAAAACAGATTTCATTGGGCCTTAAAAATGTAATTGTTGATGAACTTTTAATAAATTATGGTTAAATTGTATACTTGTCACGATTTCAGTTAATTAGGCATGCTTTTTAATTATTAAAACAATTTAACAATTAAAATGGAGTTGTGTAAAACATTGGAAAATGCAGAATTCTGAAAAAAATAAAACCGATTACACAGGGCCCTTTATTTGTTAAACTTTTTAATAAACTGTTTTTAAATGGTTAAATAGGTTCACGATTTCAGTTAAAGGTCCCATGACATGCTGCTTTTTGGATGCTTTTATATAGGCCTAAGTGGTCCCTAGTACTGTATCTGAAGTCTCTTTCCCGAAATTCAGCCTTGGTGCAGAATTTCAGCCACTACGAGCCAGTCCCACAATGAGCTTTCCTTAGGACGTGCCATTTCTGTGTCTGTAGCTTTAAATGCTAATGAGGAGGAGAGAGGCGGGGCAACTGCCATGCTTTGCTCGTTTGCAAGCCATGATGTCTCTCGAGGAAAAAAAAATATTGCGCTCGCCTCGCACGGTAGTAGCTCATTTTCTCATGGGCGGGCCAAATTCTCTGGGCGGGCAAAGCAGAGAAAGGGGAGGTAACCTTTCCCCGTATGACGACATAAAGGGAAGATTCCAGATTGGGCCATCTGAGCTTTCATTTTCTCAAAGGCAAAGCAGGATACCCAGGGCTCGGTTTACACCTATCGCCATTTCTAGCCACTGGGGGACTAGTGCCTGAGTACAAAGTTCTAGCCACTGAGTACAAACAAGTTTGGCTGTTTTAACTACGTTAGAATGAGAGCATCATGTGAATGTAGTTCAGAGTAATTCAGTTGTAAGTCTGACAGACGTGAAGCTGAAATCCCCTGATCAAACCCTGAGCTCCTCTGGTCTCAGGAGGCACGCGAGGCTCTGGAGGCTAAAGACCGGTACATGGAGGAGATGGCCGACACGGCAGACGCCATCGAGATGGCCACGCTGGACAAAGAGATGGCAGAGGAGCGGGCCGAGTCTCTGCAGCAGGAGGTGGAGGCTCTGAAGGAGAAGGTGGAGGAGCTGAGTATGGATCTGGAGATCCTCAAACACGAGATCGAGGAGAAGGGCTCGGACGGAGCAGCCTCCAGCTTCCACGTCAAGCAGATGGAGGAGCAGAACGGACGTCTGAAGGAGGCTCTGGTCAGGTAAAGCACGTCTGTGTGGGGCTCATCACCATCATTTGTTTTCATATCCATCGATAATTATCACCATATATGTGACCCCGGACCACAAAACCAATCATAAGGGTCAGTTTTTAGAAATTGAGATTTATGCATCATCTGAAAGCTCAATAAATAAGCTTTCCATTGATGTATGGTTTGTTAGGATAGGACAATATTTGGTCAAGATACAACTATTTGAAAATCTGGAATCTGAGGGTGCAAAAAAATCTAAATATTGAGAAAATCGCCTTTAAAGTTGTCCAAATGAAGTTCTTAGCAATGCATATTACTTTAATTTTCATGTTTTAATTATAATAACACATTTAATTGCTTGAATTTTTGTTCACATTTTCATTTTTAATAATGAAACCTACAGGACGAGCATTTAGGCTTAATGCATTTATTTTAGGGCTGTCAAAATTAACGGGTTAATAATTAGAGTATTAAAAACTTACATTTAGAACAGATAAAAAGGTGCGATTAAGTTGCGATTAATCACGAGTTAACTCATGACAATCATGCGATTAATCGTGATTAAATATTTTAATCGGTTGACAGCCCTAATTTATTTATTTATGATTAAGAGAACAGATAAACAGAGACTGTGCTTCACTTTTCATGCTCAACACCGCAGTGACAGCGGAGGCCACTAAAAACAACAAAATATGCTAGGGCTGGGTAAAAAAAAAAAAGTCTAATTTTTATGAACCAATATTGATTCTTAAATCCCAATCGATGCTGTTTTCAGTTGATGAATGAACAGTACATATAGTGCGCCTCCCATCCAATAAATCGCAATAGGCTAAGCTTTGTGCGTTGTTACTTTTGATATGAAACAAAGCCTCAGATTTCAAATTCTGTCCATTTTATTAGGAAATTCAAGCAATAAATACCGTTTTGGCGCTCTTTAATGTGGCGTGATAGATCGCTGTAGACACCTCAGATCAAGCGAAGCGGCAGTGCAGTGTTTTCGCTTTACTACTCATTTTAATTATTCTGAATGAGTTTTTTTTATTTTTTTTATTTATGATTGGTGTTATCGTGATAATCACAGTTAAAGCCACTCATACAGCACACCTCAATACCATGGTAAAAATATAACTATGTTTTTTAGGTATCTGTATGAAAAACAGTAGTCTAAAGACATTTAGTATAAATGCACACATGCTATAGCTTAATCAGAATACTGTAATTATATTCCATTACTCCTTTAATACATTTACTTCATGTCTACATTAATAATATATTAAAATTCGAATCAAATACCCACATTTCTGTCACAATACCACGATGCAGTTAGCATTACTACAGTAAATCCACGGTAAATGATGGCGATTTGTAGATTGAAAAACCTGACTGTATCGTTGCGCACAGTGCTTCTCCTGTTTGTCAGAGCTTTCATCTGACTTTAAAATCAGCAAGGCATTTGTGTTGTTTGTTGAATTCAAGCGCTTCACTCTGGATCTCACAGCGCTGTTTCAAAATTATATCGCGATAATTATCGTTATCGATTTCTCGCCCAGCCCTACGTCTGTGTTCTCCTGCATGTTCCTGAGATGTGTGAGTGTGTGTGTGTGTGTGTGTGTGTGTGTGTGTGTGTTCAGGATGAGGGATCTGTCGTCGTCAGAGAAGCAGGAGCATGTGAAGCTCCAGAAACAGATGGAGAAGAAGAACTCTGAGCTGGAGACTCTGAGAGCACAGAAGGAGAAGCTGCAGGAGGAGATGAAGCAGGCTGAAGCCATGATAGACGAGCTCAAGGAGCAGGTTAGTTCAATAAACACGTGTTCAGCATCACACGAGTACGGCTGGGTGTTGAGATTACTTCATGGTTTGATTCACAAGCTTGCGATTCAGTAGGATTTTAGTCTCGATTCATTTGAATATATAGGCAATCAGGTACATAAGTGTCAATTTTTTTCAAGAAATAAAGGTCTCACAACTGAAGCAACACAATAAACAGTTGGTCAGTTGGTACATTACTTATGTTACTAACATTGAAGGGATTTGTAAACAAACATTCAAATTGCACACAAGGCTGTTTTATAATAAAAATGTATTACTGTATATGATACAAGTTTATTATAATAACTATTGAGTTTATGGTCATTAAATATAAATGTGACGTTCTGTTATTGATCTCAGGGTGTTTTATTCATGTCTTTCTGTGGTTAAATCAGTGATTGATGGATTGCATAATTGATTTCAGTGAGTTGTTCTGTTTCTCCTGATGTTTATTTTGTGCTGTAACTAGTAGTAAAGAGAAAAAGATGATCGCTTTATTACAGTAATCTGTCACCACACACAAAAACATCATTCATTGATTGAATCTGGTGATAAAATTTATATAATTTTAAAGCTCAGGATTTGTTTTGTATGAAAAGTATGATATATTGTGTGTGTGTTTTCAGGTGGACGCAGCGTTAGGAGCTGAGGAGATGGTGGAGACACTGACGGAGAGAAATCTAGACCTGGAAGAGAAAGTGCGGGAACTCAGAGAGACCGTCAGTGACCTGGTGAGACTCACGTTCAGCATTCAACACAAAATCAGGCAGAGTGTGAACATTGATCTTCCTTCTCTGACGTGTCGCTCAGGAAGCCATAAACGAGATGAACGACGAGCTGCAGGAGAACTCGCGCGAGACGGAGCTGGAGCTGCGTGAACAGCTGGATCTGGCCGGAGCTCGAGTCCGAGAGGCTCAGAAGAGAGTGGAGGCGGCGCAGGAGACGGTGGCTGACTATCAGCAGACCATCAGCAAATACAGAGAGCTCACCACTCACCTGCAGGTCAGAGAGATGCACACGAGAACTCAGCAGTGAGATGCAGATGTGTGTTGACAAGCAGCGAAATAAAATGCATGCAAACAGATTTAATTGAATGGATTAGGGAAACTTTCCCACCGGTTAATCGACATGTGACAACACCAGTAATACCAGTATCACCGTGGGGGTGGAGGTTTCCCTCTTTTCCTCGCTTTCCTTCACTTTTAAATAGCTTGTAAAAGCGGCGTGTGCATTTTACTTTAACTTTCAAATTAGCGGCAATTCGGCGTCAATTGCTTGAGTGCAATTCAAGCAACAAAATACGTCGTCAAACTCACTTTAGCCTATATATAAAACATAGAACTTTTATTAACAAAACGAATAAACACACCATGCTGTAGGCTATGCCTAATATAAAATAACAAATGGCTTACATAAAGTTTAAATGGGTATACAAAACTGAAGATCAGTAAACACTGTGATGCAGACCGTTTATTAGCAAAACGAATAAGAAAGCTTGGAGGCACGGCATACACCTTGATGTCAAATAAAATAAATAAACTACACAAAGTTTAAAGTAAAAATCAACAAACATCGTGGAACCAATTAACTCTTTCCCCACCATTGACGAGTTATCTCATCTTTTAGAAGAAAACGCTACCTCGCCAACAAAAAGTTTTTACGGCTTTCCGTGTTTTCACTGTTATACACTCGGGGGCGCTATTACACGTCTTCTGAATGAGTACAAAACCTCCCGAACAAAAACACACGTGAACAGGATGGAGAAACGAGTGCTCTCTTATGTAAACAGATGCATATGAAAAATAAAAAACTTCCAAAATCACCTTAGATAAACAGCAGAAGTCAACAGGCAAAAAATTAACAATTCGGACCAACTGAGCTGAAAAACCAAAACCAAGCTACCTTATTATCCAACCTTATCATTTGCAATTAATATAAAGTTATCAGAATAAAACCTTTTATCTTTTAGCTCAAGTGAGCATTGGCTTAATCCATTTTTTAAATATTTTTGTTTAAATTATAAAAAGATATATTTTTATGTAATATATTCACAACTGTATGTGAAAAATATTGATTATGCAAATGTCAGTGTTGATCAATATAATATTGACTTTAAAACAATGTTATGTATTATAAAAAGTAAAGGTGACTTAAATTCTATTTCAAACTAATAATAATTTTTTTAACATGTTTTTACTGTATGATATGCAGAACACTAACTTTTTTGTTAAAGTGATCACTAACTTAATTGAGCTGGTTTGATTTTACAATTACTCATTGGGTTTAAATATGTTTAAATAGTACATTTTTTTTATTTAAATGTAGATGATTTTTAAATAATAAATAAATATGGTAATCCTGCTACCGGTGTTAAATGAAATATGACTAAACCTGGATCCACTTCCATTTTTCTTTAAACCTTTCTGTATGCCACTGTTGTAAAGCTGAGGTTTTCTCCGCTGCATGAACAGGAAGTGAACCAAGAGCTGACCAATCAGCAGAGCAGCTCGGCCGAGCAGCTGCAGCAGCCGACTTCTGAACTCTTCGACTTCAAGATCAAGTTTGCTGAGACCAAAGCTTACGCCAAGGTACAGTCTGCCGTCATTTCAGCCGAGGCTTGAAACACACCGAGAACGAGCGCTACAGGTGTGTGTGTGTGTGTGTGTGTGTGTGCAGGCCATCGAGATGGAGCTCCGCAAGATGGAGGTGAATCAAGCGAACCGTCAGGTGTCTCTGCTGATGTCCTTCATGCCCGAGTCCTTCCTGAGACACGGAGGAGACCACGACTGCATCCTCGTGCTGCTGCTCATCCCCAGACTCATCTGCAAGGTCTCTGTCTGACGCTCTTTTACCGCCTGCAGAGACTAGGAAATCAGTGTGAGGCTTTAGGACAGTTATTTCAGTGAGCTCTTTCAGGATTTAAGATCATTTTCTGCTTGTTGCTTACAACACCTTTAATTTTAGTATCGACTTCAGACCAAACTAAGACTGTACAGCTGAAATAAGATCAACTGTAAATATTAGATGAAACAAGTTCAAGATGAAGCACTAAAATAATTAACTTGAAATAAATAAAAAGTTGAACTGAATTAGAACTAAAAAGGAAATGAAAATCAATTAAACCTTAATAGTAATATTTAAATATGCACTAAAATTAATAATGAAATAAATACAAATTAGAACTGAACTAAAACTGAAATAAAAATAAATTTAACCTAAATAATAATATTTAAATATGCACTAAATTACTACTAATTACTTAGCTACAATGGAAATCAAATTAAACGATACCTAAATAGTAATATTTAAAATAATAATAATAATAAAAATGACAAAAGCACACAACAAAATGACCAAAAAATAAGGGAAATGTATTAAAAGTAAACTGAAAATATACAAATAAAAGCTGTTTCAAAATATGAATAACTGTATATTCTATGAAAAATATTAAAATAACGCTGATTGGCAGAAATACCACAAGCTCCTTAAAATGTTTAAAGTGCTTGAATTTAGCTCTGAAATACCTAGAAAAGTGCCAGAAAATGAAAAAGGAATATGTGTATTTGGTAATACATATAATACATTATAATATATAATATAATATAATATAATATAGTTGCACACGGGAATCAACAAAATATGGCTTCTGCACCTCCTTTGTCTAAATAAACACATTTATTATTGAGCAGATATTAGTGACCTGATTTCTGATGACTTTTAAGAGACTGTTGATGATTCCTGGATTTGCTGCTGATGTAAAATGCGTGCATCAGGTGTCATCTGCATTAATAGAAGCACCTTTAAATGATGAACTGTGGTGTATGTGAGCGCACTGATGGTCGTTGTGTCTCTGTGAAGACTGGTAATGGTCTGTAATGTGCTGCAGGCGGAGCTGATCAGCAGACAGGCGCAGGAGAAGTTCGATCTGAGCGGTGGCTCTCCGGAGCGCTCTGGATTGAGAGGAGCCGCCGGAGAGCAGCTGAGCTTCGCGTCTGGTCTGGTTTATTCCCTGACGCTGCTGCAGGCCACGCTGCACAAATACCAGCTGTACGTGTCCATCATTACTCCACCACACACTCACACTCTTACTGAAAGCCTGTGCATGCAGTTTATAAACAAGCTTCTTCTGCTCACCAAAGATGCATTCATTTCATCACAAATACAGGAAACTAAACAGTCATATTGTGAAGTGTTATTGCAATTTAACATAATACACTATAAAATGTAATTTATTTCTGTGAAGCAAAGCATCATTACTCCAGTCTTCAGTGTCACATGATCTTCAGAAATCATTCTAATATGCTGATTTATTATCAGTGTTGGAAACTGTTGCTGCTTCATATTTTTTATAACCTTTGCTACTTTCTTCTTCAATGAATAAAAAGCTCAAAAGAACAGCATTTATTCAAAATAGAAATTATTTGTAACAATATATGTCGTTACTATCACTTTTTATCCATTTAACACATCCTTGCTAAATGTAAGTATTCATTTCTTCAACAAAAAAAAGAAAGAAAGAAAAAAAAAATGTACTGACCCCAAAGTTTTGAACAGTAGTGTATATTGTAACACAAAATTTCAGTTTTGAATAAACACTGTTCTATTTTAACTTTTTATTCATCAAAGAATCCTGAAAAAAGTATCACAGGTTCCAAAAATATTAAGCAGCACAAGAGTTTCCAGCACTGATAATAAATCAGCATATTAGAATGATTTCTGAAGATCATGTGACACTGAAGACTGGAGTAATGATGCTGAAAATACAGAGCAATAAATTACATTCTAACAGATATTCACATAAAAACAGCTATTTTAAATTGCAATAATATTTCACAAGATTACTGTTTTTTCTGTATTTTTGATTAAATAAATACAGCCTTGATGAGCAGAAGAGACTCCATTAAAAATCTCACTAATCCCACACTTCTGAATGGCAGTTATATATACATATGCACACACATAATTCAGTGTGTATAAATGCAATGCTTCTCAAGGAAAGCTCTTTTCAGATGTAAGGGTTGATGTGTGTGGTTTGCGTGTGTGATTGGCTCCTCAGAGCTCTGAGTCAGTGCGGCGTGGAGGTGTACAAGCGCATGGGCACGCTGTACTCGGAGATGAGCGTTCACGAGCGATCGCTGGACTTCCTCATCGATCTGCTGCATAAAGATCAGCTGGACGAGACGGTGCAGGTGGAGCCGCTCACCAAAGCCATCAGATACTACCAGGTGCGCGCACACACACACACACACACAGCAGAGCCCTCTGGAATCAGACCTCTGTCGCTTATAACTGATGTGATGATTGTGTTGCAGCAACTGTACAGCGTCCATTTGTCGGATCAGCCTGAGGACTGCAGCGTACAGCTGGCGGATCACATCAAGGTACAGAACCTCACTCCTCCACTGAACACCAGACACGTCTCGCCTCATTCTGCTTCCGTCACATGACCTTTCACTGGGATGCTGTTGACTCAGGATCAGAAAACACTCGGACAATCACGTTCAGTTTACTTTAGTTTCCTTCATTTGAAAGTAGCTTTTAATTTAATTTAATTTTTTGTTTTGAGTTTAGTGAATTATTTAGTCATTTTCTTATGTGTCATTCATTAATTTATTTGTTTTAAAATATGATTATTTAGGTTTCTTTTTTATTTTATTTTGACTTCAGTTTTGGCTTTTATTTATTTACAGTGATTTCAGTGCCAGTGTTATTTTAATATAATTGATGTACTATCATAGTTTTTAGTAATACTTTTAATTAGTTTTTATTTTTAGATTTCTTGTTTTCATTTTAAATTTGTTTAATTTCTTTGTAATTTTATTATGTGCTTTTGACCTTTTTTTATATTACCATTTAATTTATTTTTTGTTTTAGTTCAGTTTTGTTTATTTCTAGTTAGTAATTTCAGTGCCAGTGTTATTGTAGTATCTTTGATATACTATTACAGTTCAATATTTTGAATTTGTTTTTATTTTCATATTTTCTGTTTTCATTTTAGTTTGTTTTATTTGCTTTGTTGTGTTTTTGTCACTTATTAGTTTTTTTGTTATTTTAAAATATGTTTATATAGTTGGTTTTTATTTCAGTTTGAATTATTTTAGTACTTGAAGTTCAATATAAAGAAAATGACAAATTTAATTTTGGCAACTAGCTGAAGTTTTTTTTTTTTTTGTATTTTATTTTAGGCAACTTTTTTTTTCTTTTTTCCAAGTAACAGATTTTTTAAAATAAAATTTCAGTTTTAATTTTAGTTTCCGTTCAGTACTTCAACTTAGTTATTTCAATTAGTTGTCAATGCAGCATTTCTAATTTTTTTTAATATAATATTTTACTTATTTTTTCTATAATTTCAGTTATCAAAAATGGTTTTAATGGTTTCAGTGAATGAATATAAGGAGTGCTTCAGTCTTTGTGCTGGTTTCTGACTGCGTCTGAATAATGCAGTAAAACACGACTGATCTGTGACCTGCAGTTCACCCAGAGCGCTCTGGACTGCATGGGGTCAGAGGTCGGCCGTCTGCGGGCCTTCCTGCAGGCGGGACAGGAAGGGGCGGAGCTCTCTGTGCTCCTGAAGGACCTGGACACTTCCTGTGGAGACATTGGTCAGTTCTGTAAGAAGATCCGCAGGAGGATGCCAGGAACAGATGCTCCGGGGATTCCTGCCACGCTCAGCTTCCCTGCTCAGGTGCTCACGTCTGATAACACTCTCTCACACACACACACACACACACACACACAGACACAGGTTTGTTTTTGTGAGTTGTGGGGACATTCCATAGGCGTAATGATTTTTATACTGTACAAACTGTATGTGCTATTGCCCTACACCTAACCCTACCCCTTACAGGAAACTTTGTGCATTTTTACTTTCTCAAAAAAACTCACTCTGTATGATTTAGAAGCATTTTGAAAAATGGGGACATGGGGTAATGTCCTCATAAGTCACCTTCTCCTTGTAATACCTGTCATACCCAT